GGCTCGCGGGCGTTTTCTCTCTGGGACAGGGCATGTGACGTTGTGCATGTATCTAAGGTGGCGCGTTAATCCATTTTGAAGCGGAAATGTTCGTTTACACATACTGCAGGCAAAAGGATGGAGTTTTGCTTTAGGCGAATTGGGACGGGGTAACGTTGTGTCCGGAGGTGGGGGTTGTGGGGGTGGCGGAGGTTCTGACATGTATACATCAAAAGTAATACTCTAAGAAACAACAACAGCAAGAACACGATAAATGCAATATCAAGGGTTACACAGCAATAACAAGAGCAACAGCACCTACTGCAGTCAAATCCAATCATAACAGCTAGAGGATGCAGACAGAGAGATATGTGTGACATAATGTCATTCTCAGTGTGTCTATCGCATTTGAATCCTTGAGAGACTTGGAGAAAATAAAGAAAAACAAAAAAAAAAGGGAAAAGAAGCAACACATACAATAAACAATACAGCAAAAACATCAGTACTGAAGTAACTACAGAAAAACATAAACACATAAACCTTCTTACCCAGAACATTTTAATTCAATAAAAAAGAAAGCCCATTAACAAAAAAAATCCCCCAAAAAGGAGCCCATCAGCACAAAAAAAAGCCCAATAAAAAGGAGCCCAAGTTCATGTTGATTCTTCATCCGACACTGTCATCGTTCTCTCACCATATATATATGTGTACTCTCATGTATATGATAACGAACAGTGGGATTCTGCAAAATGTTTATTTGATCATTATTAATTTTCAGAAAATGAATATAAAATCATAGCAAAAAAAAAAAAAAAAAAAAAAAATCATAAACAATTAAAAGACAATTTTCCAATTGAGCGAAGAACGCTGAAAAAAAAAAAAAGAACGGTCAATGTATTGCGGTTTATGGGATTTGATTCAAAGGACCGTATTTAGCAAAAGTGTTTATTATTTCTGAATATTAATGGATCTCTCATGGAACCATCACAAAACCAACAACACACACAAGAAGTGCAAGAGGGGCCATGTAGGAGACCATGATGCTGCTGTCAGGACCCAACGCACCCATTACATTTGGATGTTTTAGTGTTTCTTCTTTCATTTGGTCCTCAGTTAAGCTTGTCCCATTCAAAGCAGCGTTATTTGCTGTGTGAGAAGACGGTTCATTTGCAGCATCAACAGTGTTGGGATTAGATGTGGTTGGAGAAGTAGCAGCATCAGCAGTATCACGACGATTTCTCGGTGTAGACTCTTCTCCGTGAGTATTATTTTGGACGTCGGTGGAATCATCTGATGCTTTAGTACTGGAATTGGATGAATGAACTTCACCATTGGGAGCTACTGGAGCGCTTTCCACTTGCTTACCATTTGGTGATTGAACTTTGTTTTCTGTTTCGTTTGATGCTTGGTGTTGGTCTTGAGCTCTGGGTGATGTTTGTTTTTCATTTTGTTGATCGCTGTTTACTGCTGGTTGATCTGCAATCTGTTGCGAGATTCCATGTGCAGGGGCCTTTGAAGAGGCAGGATCAGGGGCAGGGGCAGGGGCAGGGGCAGAAGCAGAAGCGGATGAAGAAGGTTCGCTTTGGGCGGACTGACTCACATTAACAAGGTTCCCTCCATTGCCGCTGGCGCCACCGGAACCATCAGAGCCGCTGTTACCAGTGCTCGTGCCACGACTTCCAGTGTTGCTCTCGGGACCCAAAGAAGAGGAACCGGTGTGCTCAACATTTTCACTTTCCGGGTGTTTCCCGTGAGCGTCTTGGGGCACAATCGGTCCTTGGTTTTTTTGCCCGTGCTTGTTTTCCCGTGCAAGTGGTGTAGCGGCCGGCAAACTGTCCACATTTTGAATGACATTACTTGGAGCCGTGTGAGGTTCTGGAGAAACTACCTGGGTTTGGGCATCGATGGGCTTCTTTTTTTCTTGTTTCACTTCTTTTTTTTTTTCTTCTTTCGCAACATTTACATCAACATACCCGTCAGTAATTTTTTTGGCATTGTAAAACTTAATGTTGGTAGGAGCTTCCGTTTCCAGCAACCCAATGCAGACTTCTTCGTATTTGGGGCACTCAATACTTCCACCACTAAACTCTGTACCAGCCACATGAGCAATATTTATAGACCCGCCTTCCTCTGGACACTTATGCCAATTATCCTCAGTACTCTCATCGTTCCCCTTTAGAACACTCACTTTCTTCGTTTCATTATTACACTTCACTTTTGCACAAATGCCTTGAAACTTCACTCCATTTCTACTGTTCTTCGGCTCCAGCGGTGCGTTCAAGTCCACACACCGTGACATACTGCTCCGAATGCTACCAGGCAAAAGATCCTCTTTACCACCCTCACAGGCAGTGCCCTCCAAGGGTCTGATGAATGTGTGCCCATCCATCAAGTCTTTCGCTGTATATCCTGTGCTTCTGTCCTTAACATATTGGTACCCCTCAGGTAAGTTATTTCGGTTGTCCTTCGTTGAGCAAATACCAAGGGCAAAACGGTCAGAGGTGCACTTCAGGATTGTCTTCGCATCATCATCCTTGCAAAACAAAGTGGAATACTCAGTCTTTGTCGTATCCTTTTTACCTTGAAGAAATTCACATCCTGATTGATTCCCCCAACTCATCGGTTCTGCCTTCTCGAAAACTGCTTTGTAGAATTTCATATCTTCAAATGCCGCGAGTGTCAGATTAGTGTAATACATGCCAGAAGTTTCACCAATGTACGTACTCATCAATTCATCCTTCGCAATTAGTCTCTCCCAGTGGGAAGAATTCTCGTGGTCTTCTTGATTTTCCAAATACAAACCTTCTACTTTATTATTATCATTATTTTCACATTTGTAATGATTCTTCATCATTTCGACTGTTTTGGAGGAGTTAACCATAAAGTACTTTCTTGCAAGAATGTGTCTTTGCATATGTGCGACACCACTCTCACGCTCTTTGATCATGTTTAGCTGTTTCATAAGGTCATGTTGAAATCCGAGACCATGCGCAATCTCATGTGCAGTTAAACGAATAAAGTGCCGTGTTGCTTTTATCTCCTTTGGGACAAATTTGATGACGGCAGACGTTGGTCTCTTTTCATCATCCTTACTGCAAATCTCAACATTTTTGGGTTCGTCTGAGAGACCCACGAAAATCATAAAATCAAAATCAGAACTATCCTGAACATTACTCTTAAAGGAATCCTTAAAGAACTGGCAGCTATTTTGAATACGTTTGTTCTCACCAGCGCTTAAAATTGGTGTCCTTTCCATCTGTTTCACCTTAAGGCGATCTGTGTGTAATTTGATGGCTTTGGGCAGGACCTCCTTAAAAAGAACTTTTTTTATTTTCTCCGTAATACCATCCTTGCAGCGACTATCAAAGTTAAGTTCTTTTTGAAGTTCTTCAACTTCACGTTCAAGATTAAAAGTGTCTTCTCCTGCAAACTCCTCTTCATAGAATTCTTCATCTTCAAGCTTTTCCTTAAGTTCTTTAAGTTTATTGTCAAGCTCTGTGTACTCAGAAGGCTTACCTCTCTCTTTTGCGTTGCAATACTTCACAACATCCTCCACAAATTTTGTATACACGCCAATGCGGATGGGATGCCAGTCCTTATCGTCAGTCTGAACATTAGTATCAGTAGAGACGGTGTACGCATGTAGAGCACTTTGTCCTTTTTGTGGTAACTGCTGTACAACAGCAGCCAAACACCCGCAACTGCAGTATAACAGGAACAATGCAGTCCACAGGAGGTGACGCATGGAGTGTTTCTCCATTTTGTAGTGGTGTGAGTGAGTTGCTTTGCTAAAGTACAAACAGTAAAGAGAAAAAAAGAAAAAAAAAAAAAAAAACGAAAGAGAAAAATGAAAAAAAGGCAACACATATAATAAACAATACAGCAAAAACATCAGCAAAGAAACAACTACAGAAAAACATAAACACATAAACCTTCTTCCCCAGAACATTTTCTATTCAATAAAAAAGAAACCCATTAAAAAAAAAGCCCAATGATAATAAAAAGCCCAAGTGTATTTTTATTCTTCACCTGACACTGTCATCGCTCTCTCAGCATATATTATGTGTGTACTCCATTGTATACGGCAAGAAACAGTGGGACCCCGTAGAATCCCTATATGAACAATTATAAATTCTTCAGAAAATGAATAAAATCATAGCACAACATCATAAACAATTAAAAGAAAATTTTCCAATGCAGCGAAGAACGCTGAAAAAAAAAAGAACGGCCAATGTGTTGCGGTTTATGGGATTTGATTCAAAGGGCCGTAATAAGCAAAAGTGTTTATTATTTCTGAATATGAATGGATCTCTCATGGAACCATCACAAAACCAACAACACACACAAGAAGTGCAAAAGGGGCCGTGTAGGAGACCATGATGCTGCTGTCAGGACCCAACGCACCCATTACATTTGTATGATTTAGTGTTTCTTTCATTTGGTCCTCAGTAAATTTTGTCCCGTTCAAAACAGTGTTATTTATTTTGTGAGAGGGCCGAACATCAACAGTGTTGGTGGACTGTATTGTGTTGCCATCGCTGGTGGGATTAGATGTGGATGAAGCATCAGCAGCAGGGAGAGAAGAAGATGAGTTGTGGCCGGGCCGAGCAACAGCAGCATTAGACTCGTCCTCTTTAATTGGTTCCGTACTGCTCGTGCCACCACTTCCAGTACTGCTGCTCACTCCACCCACAGTGGTCACACTGCCGTTCCGATCTTTTCCTCTTTCTGTGCTTTCCGGTGTTTTGTCCTTGTTCTCCAGTCCAGTGGATCCCGCACCGGGTACGCCATTTTCACGTTTATCAGATTCAGCTTGAGTGCGATCATCGATGTGAGTCGCTGTTACTGTTTCTTCATCGTCGTCATTCACAACAACGTCGCTTGCCTCTAGATCCTCGCCAGTGTACAACTTAATGGTGAGAGGTTTGGTTTTTGGCAACCCTGTGCAGACTTCTTTGAAATTGGGACACTTAATAGTACCACTGCTGAACACTGAACCCTTCAGTTCAATTTTATCGTCATCATTTCGGCACACATGCCAAGCAGTGTCACTCTGGCCCTTGTACTGCACAAGTACCTTCTCCTCCTTATTATCACACTTCACTTTCGCACAAACGCCAGCAATGTTGAGGCTTCTGTGGCCGTTTGAATCACGTAGTACGACACCCTCAGCGTTCAAACATCGTGACGTATTGCTCAGAAGACTGCCAGGCAACAGAGTCTCATTACCATCCTCACAGGCAGTGCTCTCCAAGGGTTTGATGACCGTGTAACCATCCATCAAGTCATCTTTCAGCTCTAATTCTTTGCCATTGAAATGACGGTATTCGTCAGGTAACCTTTCAAAGTTTTCCTTCGTTAAGCACATTCCAAGGGCAAAACGGTCAGAGGTACACTGTAGGGTCTTCTCATCTTCTTTGCAGAACATGTTGGGGTGTTTTTTTAACAATTCATTCTTCTTTTTACCTTCAAGAAAGTCACATATAGTTTCATTCCCCCAACTCATCGGTTCTGCCTTTTTGAAATCTGCGTTGTTTTGTGTCTTTATGGATATTACTCCAATGGTACGGCTATCAACCGTA